AACTTAGGCTAGTCGGCAAAAAATCTAGCTAAATATCTATATATGAATGAATGATTACAGTACTTTATTCCAGTCCAGAATAATATAAAATGGGCATTACTTTTCATTTAAATAAATTGAATTATGTAGGTATACTCACGACATCACACTGGCCTCAGCTCGGAACTTGCTCGCCGCTTCTCTGTCTTTCAGTATCTTGACGGCCACCTTCTGGTTGCCGTTGAGGATGCCCAGCATCACGTCGCCGAACTCGCCTTTGCCGATGTTTTCCCTTATCTCCAAATCTCGTTCAGCTATTATCCAACCTAGAAAATAAAAATGAAGTAAATATACAATATTTTTTTTGGAATGCTAAGATACATATTTAATTGATTTTGTAAATGCCACCATTTATGCGCAAGTTATCAAAATAAACCTAATCTAAGATTATAAAAAGAAAATATTTGTATTTTTGTATGTAACGAAATAACTCAAACTACTGGGCCGATTAAAAAAATCTTTTACCATTTAAAAGCTACGTTATCACTGACTAACATAGGCTATATATATTTGAAATCCACGCGATAACAAGAGATACTTACGTGCATCAACAAATCTCTGATGCAGCGCGCCGTCGGGCTGGTCCGCGGCGGGCTGCGCCGCGTACGTGTGCTGGAAGTGGCCCGAGCTCAGCGCGCTCGACACGCTCGGCGTCGGCGGGTACGGGGGAGGTTGCTGCAAACAATATGCACCTTATTCGCATACACTTTAGATACATTTTACAATAACAGATCTATAAATAACACTGTTAAATGTAGAATTGATTATGGCCTAGTCACCCCTTATTTACGGTAGGCTTTGAACCTTTCGGTGGCGACGTATAGTGAGCTGGTGATGAAAGAAAAAATGAAAAAAAAATGAATATTTTGAACGCTACCTTGCTAAATTAGCTAACCCCAAAAAATAATTAGACACTATAGTTAAATACATGTTGCACTTTAAATATGTATGACCACAGAACTTTTGGGATAAGTATTTTGTTCTTTATTGGTTCGCATCGATAATCGCATATCGCAAGCCTAAGCATAATAATATTTCAAAAGCCGTGAAGCCGTTTTCACGCCTGGTGCGTGGTATAAAGGGTGGACGCATTTTTCACAAGCTAAAATGTATTTAAACACTATATTTTTTTAATAACAAATAATTGAATGTACTAACAGGTGGGTGCGGTGGATACGGCGGCTGCAGCACACCGTTGTTGTTGGCGCCGTTGATCGCCGACTTCGGCAAACATCGGACCAGCTTCGTGCAAAGACCGTCCGCGTCTTGAACATAATGCTGTCAATAAAAGAATAATTGTTATTAAACATGTTACAATAAATAACTATTAAATATTTGAAATCAACGTACATCTATTAAATTCGTCATCGTGTCAAAGAACTCCTCATCGTCAATCGTTAGACGTTGCGTTTGACTGTCGGGTGCAGTTGCCCATTTTACCCTGAAAAGTAAAAAAAAAAAAAATTCCTATCGCACTATATGTAAATTACTTCAATGAGAGAATTTTGAAAATGAGATGATGTAAGTGATTCAATCTGGTTAGTACTTTCATGGAAATCTGCGGTGTTCTACTTTATGAAAAAAGTCCTCGTACATTGCAACGAGTCATACTATGCATCTTCGTACAAATAACCAATTAGATAGCACTGGTGCAAAAGACGGCATAATATCCGACCTTTTTTTCTTACAAATACTTTTATAATCTGCATTTTAAAAAGGTTCAAACGATTGTAGCTTTTACGGTAGAACACCGACAGTTTCCCCGACTGTACATAGCGCATTTTGGTACCCTTTAAGACTATACGAAACAGAACAATGATGAAGTTTCATTATATGTATTCGTTGTCTCACCACATAACTACGACTGTAGCAGTTTCCCTACTAACATGAGGTTTACAAGTGGTTAGTACCGGTAATGTTCAACACGTCCCCTGAAACGCACGCAGAGCGTGTGGTCTCCGGGGAAGTTGGTGCTCTCTCGCACGAGGAACACGCCGTCCGGGGAGCCCGACAGCAGCGCCTCCGCGCGCTCGCGGGATATCGCACCGTGGTGCCATCTGAGGGACAAAACAATTTATTACATTACTAACTAAATCAAATGAAGCATTTTTTTATGAATGTATGATATACTACCAAAATTATAATTTGAAATAAAATCAAGTTTTAATTTATTGCATTTTTCTTACAATTTAGGCAAATTCATCGACTTCAAAAGGTTTTAAGTGGTATTTTGTATTTGTGACATATGAAACTATTATATCATAATAAATAACAGTAAATTGTAGTCACTGTTGTAAGAACGTATGAAATAATGTGCACATTAACAATAAAACTAAATGATTACAACAGTTTATTTTAGAAGTAGGTCATGAGAACGTCTGGCTGATATATGCGGGCCAGGTGTTTCCCTAACTCACAATTTGTTAGAAACGTGGAAATATTTAGGTAATAAAATAAAGGTTGGGTAATTGATACTACGTGAATAGCAAAAGATGCTTTTTAAAAACAAAAGCACATTATTTTTAACAGTTAACATATTTATGAATGACCGATGAAACGTTTTGCTTGTGTAGTAAAATATAAAAAGATAACAATCATTCTGAACTTTAGTACTGTTTGAGCACAATTGGTGTAATATTATAAAACATACAAGGTCGTTTCGACCCTTCATTCCGAGATTAAAAGACGATTTTTTATTATCAAAAGAATATTCTAGTAAACTACATTTTAATAACTACAATAGTCAATTTAAAGGAACATTAGGAAACAATGAACTTTCAAGAACTAAACCGATTTAAAAACTGTTTCACTTTTATATTATTCACAACTATAAACTTAAATTCACTTCGATTGTAGATACGTGTGTATGTTTTTATAACTTAGGCGAAGTATTTTATTGGCACAACACAATATAATAAGCAGGCAACACAAAAAAATGAATAATTACTCCCAATTATCAGTATCGTTTAAACTTTTCGTTTGTTCAGTGTCACGTCCTGCACTGTCCATAGCTCGCTGTCACTGTTACAATGTTTGCTTTACGATATGCAAGCGATAACGCAAATCTAAGATAAGACCATACTCTTGATATATTAATAAAGCGAAAACGATTTAATTGTTTGAATGTTTTGATATCACTCGAAAACTACTGACTGGTTTATTTAGGGATGCAACGGAAACAACGTTTGTGTGAGTGTTTCTTTATGGACCCCTATCGTAAACATAATATATTGTCATCCCTTTTATTTTAATTGAAAAGAAAACTACAAAATGTTTTCTGTTCAGTTTTTCGGCAGTGGAAACCTTCACGTGTAACAAGATAGTCGTTGGTGTACCGTAAATACAATGCGATTAACTGTTTTGTAAATCGTGAAGTTAAATTAGTTTTATTGTTAACCTCGAACAATTTTCTACGTGCCTTATTGAATTTTTCGATAAGATAATGTATGTCCAACAAGAGACATGAACTGTCAAACATATCTGAAACGTTAATTGTTTCGCAACCGTTGGTATCTACAGTACTAAAACTTATTTCCTCTTATTCTATTTAAAAAATATAAAACACTTTTCGGTACACGGTAAAGCAAATATTAGTTAAATAGCTGATGCTGGCGACTTCGTATCCGTAACATTAAAAAAACATTATTTTTTTATATTCGCCCAGTAGTTTTTGAGTTACAGCAACACATACACATAGATATATATAGATTTCTTACAGATTAAAACCTAAGAAGCCTCAAACTCTACATACGCATTCGTTTATGATTATCGATTTTGAGTCTTTTTCGGTCTTTTTCAGTTTGTTTTCGGAAGTAATTGTCAATGTGTGGTTGTTACTCACGGCCACTGGGACATGTTGACAAGCCGCGTGACAGCGGGCGGGTTCTGCGCCGACGAGTTCACCAACACGTCGCTTGCGCCCTTCGATACAGCTACACATACAAACAATACATTAAATTAAAATACTAGCTATCGCCCGCGACTCTGTCTGTGCCGAATTACAAAAAAAACAACCTAATTAGTGGCTTATGTTTTGTTAAGATACCAACTCTAACAAATATGCATCCAAGATAAAGATCAATTTGTGTAAATTAAAATTACTAATTAGTAACAAAACTAACATTACTACGCGAAAGTTTAGATGGATTGATGAATGGATGGATGTTTGTTACAGTTTGTAACCTAATCGGCTGAACAGATTTCGATGAAATCTGGTATAGACGTAGAGGTTATTTTTGATTCATTTTTTTAAAATCCACGCGGACGGAGTCGCGGTCGGAAGGCAGTTTAACATAAATATAAGAGATCTTTCAGAGTTCAAATATAAATGAAACAAGTACTTTCAGCCACTGAAGTCATTCATCATAATATGTCAACAGTAGTTTAGATTTTAATTAAAGACTACCCTATAGAGATGCATTAATATCAGTTGCTCAGTGCACAGCGACTTGTCTTCTAGATAACCCGGTCACTCGGACAGGTTTTGACCCTAATTGCATATTGTGTGTCCATTTTATCGCTTTATTACGAACGCATACAAACGGCGCGATTATTTTCAGACAAATTGAAACTATGGTGTCTACAAATTGCAGTTTCTACACGGAATGCTACCGTAACGATATAGAAAACCGTTTATTCCTCTTGCATCTGAACAAAAAACAAGGGCAAACAGTAGCTGCAACTTGCAACTGTAAGCGAATAGGTCACTGGGTTAGACCTCATTTGTGCGATGAATGGAAAATTATTTTTTTAGTATTTCATTTTCACTTTTCATTTTGATGACACTGGCGAAAAACTAGATTTAGGTCTCTAGCACCTCATTCGTCAGAATAACGAGGGAAACATCAAAATTTCAATACACCGCCTACGTTGTATAATTCACCGCGGGTGCCTGTTTATTCGAAAACAAGTTGGTCCCGGCTTTATCGGTATGATATAAGTAGTTTAGGGTCCCTTTCCCAGGTATTTTTCCAATTTATTTACCCCTAAGTTTAATAGTGTGAAAATATATTTCCTAAAGCGTGTCGTAAGTGTAGGGCTTTGCATTAAATAATAAATTATTCAAAATTACACATTCTACGCTACAAAGTAGTGCGTGTTTACGCTTTATTATATTAGTGTAGATAGATGTTGTTGTTACGAAGTCTTCCACTGTAACAATGATCATCACTAAGGGTTTGTTTAAGTAACAATAACGATTGAAGTAGTACATACCGGGAGCTGTCTGCGAGGTGTGCATGGCGGCGGGCGCGGGCGCGGGGCCGGCGGGCGCGACCGCGCGCACCGACGACGACATCACGTTCTGCTGGCCGAGCGACACGTCACACTTCGCGCTGTACGACAGCTGGAATCATACAGATTATACAATACTTCGTATTGTGATCGTGAACTTCATACATGAGAACTATCAAATGTTACACATACCATAAGATGCAAACTATCAGAACGCATGTGCCTAACTCACGCACGCAAACATGGAAATAAAAAAGCCGAAATAAGTAGCCCATGTATTCTTCCGGACTATCATCTACATCTATGCCAAATTTCATTGAAATCCATTTAGCCGTTTCGGCTACAAACTCTAAAAAAAAATATTAGCAAGAAGTAAGATTCGTACTTTTACATGATACAATATTGAACTGTATCTTAATTGTTTTAATTTATTTCCCCTTAAAGCATTTGGAATATAACAAAAAGGTAAACATATTGAGTTTTCTTAGTATGTTTCCAATACATCTTTTACAAAAATCGTGAGACTAACATCTGTAATTAGAACAATGATCAAGCTTTTTTACTACAAATACTTATTTTTCTTATCAATGCCTAACAAATTTGACATTGCGTTACCACAAGATATGTTTGGAAATTATCTTAATCCTTAAAACGTTACTAAATGTAATATCATAATTTGTATGTGCTATCAATACGCAAGGCCAATCACCAAGTGACGTAAATTTTTATTCTTATACCGGGCGCACACCTTTGATCAAACTATCGCACAACTGTTGTACTATTGTCTATTGTTTCGCAGCCAATTCAACTATTTAGTAGTACAACTAAAAATCGAGTAGTGTGCGCAACTCCATATAAGGGGATAGCACACCTTACGATGTCTAAACGGTATTGCCAGCTATAAAGAAATTAACAATCAAGAATTTAGCCATCACCTATCTATGTTGACCCACCTTAATTGTCAATGTAAGTCATTTAATCGTTTATTATGATAAGAATGAAATGGTATTTAAAGTGCAAATAGGACGGTGTTTTTTGCTTGTTTATTTCTATTAGCAGATTAACAGATATATTAAAATCAATTTGTGTAAGTTGGAAATTGAGATACTACATTGTAATAATTTTACGGTTTTTGTAAGATTTCCAAAAGTTTGAGAGACAGTTGCATTTCGTAAGATTTTATATCGGAACAAACGGAGCACGTCACGTTCGCTATTAAGTTATTACAAATTGTTTTCAACACATAATTGCAAACCTCACACAATGTTGCACAACATTTTTATATCTTACACACATTCTTGAAATTTAAAAACCGTGCATGTACTCTGTTAGCAAGAAAAGTTTTAAAGAACCTTGTAAATTGCTTGAAAATAACTATGTAACAATATTATTACTTTGTAGCGGATTGTAATTTTTTAAGAAATCAACGCTGCACCCATTGTAACTTTTATGTTCTTTGAGTTACACCCGAATTATGTTTGTTTTTTTCAAAGAAGAGATGACTGTTTTTGTACATGTTTCAGTAGTGGAAACTTACAATGAAATTGATCTTATTGGAAAACTTTCCATCGCAACTCCTTGTGCGTCAATTTCTGCTAAATAATTCATTTTGACCCCCTGTTATTGCAGCGCAGTATAAATCCATCACAATCCAGCAGTATGCATTATGAATCAGTCCCTCGCATGTAAGGCATATTCATTACGAATAATAATGAGCATCTCAAGTCAACATCTGCGTTTGTTACACATTCGAACAACATCGAATATATTCAGTTCAATTTATGGGTTACTTTACAATTGAAGAAATATTCTTTGCTTCTCAACAGTTTTGTATGTGATTCCCAAAATAGTATTCCAATTGGCATAACAAAAATTGTCAAAATCTGGACCGTAATAAGGACAGTTTTCGTTAAAGGCTGTTAACACGACCGATCCAATTATTGTAACTGAACTACTGGTGTAAAGGAATATAAATTTATTTTACCTCATTGCAAAAGACAAAGCGTATTGTTAGTGAACGTAATAAAACAAGAAGCGTAAAATGATAGCTTACATTATGTTGTATAGAATTCTGCAGAGCGGTGGGCGAGAGGGGCACGTGTGGACCATTACTGATCACTACACCGCCTCCTCCAATCTGCGAACAAAATATACACTTAACAACAACTTACAACAACAACAACAAATTACGACACCGTTCCTCATAATGAAACATTTAACAATGAATTACATATTATTTTCCACTTTAAAGTAATTAATAAATATGATTTAACGTTACCGCAACAATGCGACGTTAAAACAAGAATCTATGATGTCTTTGTGATAAACAGATGCAGGAAAATCTCGCTGAATCACACGAGTCACATGAAGGACTTGCGAGCGCAGTGGACACGTGGCACAGATTAATAAAATAGATTTTCTTCTATTTATTCGCACACTGAAGGCAGTAATAACTTTGAATCGCACACGAACCAGAATATATTACACGAGTGATAGAAACAATACGGATTTAATCGTTTTCTATATCGATACTTAATATTATAAAGAGGAATGATTTGTATTTTTGTATATATTGAAATAACTCAAAAACTACTGAGCCGATTTTAGATCTTGCACTAGTAAGAAGCTATATTATCAGCGGGTAACATAGATTTTACTATTTTTTTTAATTACTCATGGCCTAAGTCGCGAGCAACGAAATAAAAACTCGAAATAACTACTCGAATATAAAATAGTCTTGAATTTAAAATGTGGATACTATATAATAGATATCTTTTTATACTCGATCAGTTACAGTCAATAAATACAAACGAATAAACAGAAAGAACAAATTACAGAGTGAGCAGATTCCTCAAGCTGCAGATATTTTTCAATTTCGTATACTAGTGGCCACTTTAATTCGCCGCGGTCATAACGTTCTCATTTGGTTCCGGGTCACTGGTTATCTCGGACACCACTTCTTAACATGCTTGGAAAATCATTTTGGAATATGAAAATTAATTTAGATTATACACTACATACAGAAGATAAGGGAATATTAAATTAACGATTTTTTTTGACGTGTATTCAAGCCTATCTGCGCCCTGTATAATTCTATTTTTGGAATTTTGTAATATTTATTCAAACCAAGCAACCTTACGTCATAAGACCCTAATCACAAATCAAATAATATTAAATTGAAAAATATTACTATTATTAATTCTTTTTCTGAAAAAGTCTTTCGTACCTTTCTTCCCATCGCGGCGAAGAAAACTGAAGTTAGATTTGAGACGTGGGCGCTCTTAAGCACGTATAAACGACCTCTCTATAAAAATCATTTATCTGTTATTGTAGAAAAAATCAATAGATACTGACTGGTAATTGTGGTGGTGGATGCGCCCTCTTGACGCGCGCGGGCGCTGTGGGAGCCGGCGCGGTCGACGCTGAGTACCAGCCGCAGCCCACGCTCTGCGCCCCCGTGTGTACGCCGTGCTGGTAAACAAAAAAAATTACACATTGTAGACTAAACATTAGTAAAGTCTAAAGAGAAGAACCTTCTATAAATATGCAACAATACAATTTATAAGTTGAAATAAAGACTTTTAACATTCTATACGATTTGTGACGAATTTAAATTGTTATCTTTAGTAACCGATTCACGCAAACCACGGAACAATTTTCCCTTAACAGTTTAGTACCTACTTGAACTATTATTGTCGTTGGCTTTAAATAAACAATACAGAAAGCAAATTGTTTTCACAGCAGCGAAGCGGTTTTAGTCCGTTTCATAAAGATAAGTTCCCATACAAAAAGACAACGCTAACGATCTACTAAGCGGCGGGCGTTGGCTGAGCGCCAAGGCAATGCAGAAACCACTTACAATATATCGTCGTGAATTTGTTCACACGGATTCTCTTATTCACGCGATTCCTTTGTTATAATGCAATTTATGAAAGATTCCGCTTTCTGCAAGCCAAGGAAAAACTACACTTTGAATATTCATTGCACATTTAGCATTGCATTGAGAGTTTTCAATGATGGTTCAATTGTTTGCTAACCAATCAATATCTGCTACTTCGCAATTTCTCTATAGCAGTGGCTCACAAATAAGCCGCATATAGGAATTCTCATTAACAATAATATGAGGTATTGTAAATAGAAATAAGAACGTTTTAGGAAGAATTTTAAACATTGAAGGTCGTTTCTAACGATCGAGTTTATCAAGGAACTTGATAAATACAAATATCTACTATTATGGTGGCCTACTACTAGATCCGGTCATCTTACAAGTTGATTTGTAATGCTAAATTTACGGTTGATAAAACAAAACGTACATGTAAAGTCACACAGCGGTCATCAAGAGAAAAATAAAGACAACCGTACTGTACAACTGTTAAGCGTACTATAATGGAACATAAACTGCAAAACAAGCATTAAACAATATGACCATTTGTATGCAAAATATAATACTAAGTACAGGCACATTTACGCTGCAATTGCTAATAACGCCTCCGATTTATTAAATGCAACGGAATATTTTGCTGCTCTTTTCTATCCTGCTGCGTCATTCGCAGTCTATTTATGTTAATTACTATTGTGTTTATACGTAAAACTATTTACGTTGTGTACGAAAGGCCTAATGTGATATTGTCTACAGAATTTTATTATTCTAATTCCGTTTCCATAAATACGACTTATCGTTTTATTATGTCGCTTTTAATAATAGTTTCACATTAAGCACAACATACAGAATAATATGTACAATGAAATACAAAACTAAGTAGAATCGATAGAAATATTAACTATGTCATATGTCTCGTTAGGAGAATAAATCCTAAGAGCGAACGCACACCTTTGACTAGACTATCGCACAACTATTGTTGCGATTGTCGATTAGTTCGCATCCCATTCGACAGTTTAGTTGCACAATTAAAAATCGAGTAGTGCGCGCGTCTCCATATAAGCTCATAGGAATCAAAGCTAGACTGTGTATTACAAAATGTAACTATTACTACTACCTGGGCAAGCGGTGGATGGGCCTGGTGTCGGTGCACGTCCGAGTTCATAGCGGCCCGTCTGCTAACCACACCACCTTTAACTGCACCTCATTATCATCTGTTGACGAAAAATATAACAATTATTAATCAAACAAAACTTTGTTTCAATTATCAAAGATTTTCAAATTAAACTATATCAACATATTGTTTTAAAGGTAATTTAGTACTTCTTTATATGATTTTTCATGTAAGAAAACATTTTACTTATTTAAAAACTACTCAGCTCAAGTAGAAACCTAATACAGATAGATGACCATACTCATGTAACAATATACGGAAAGTTATGTTTTATACACAACGGACAATATAAAAAAAATATGCTATCTATTGATAACTATTTTCCGTTAAAATGGAAAGGAAATTGTGCCATTACAGCGGGAGCGATAAAATGTCGCTTCGCTGGAGCGTGTAAGATTCCGTGAAACGCTGTTACGCTTATATAATACTTGCATAACACGTGGTTATAGTAAAATCATTACAAAGAATTACAAGTAACATATCAGTAACACGTAACTAATAAACTGATCAATAGAACTTCGATTCGATGATTATAAATAACAAGGTTACAATATAAATGACTAGCGATTGCCTATGACAGCTCGCGCGGAATTAAAAAGAAAACACTTCTGGAATAAATAGCCTGTTAGCTAGAGATAATATAGCTTACTGAAGGTAAATGTATTTATAAAGTCGCTCTAGTAGATTTTTAGTTTAATAACTACATACACACATAAACATCTTTTCTCTTTATAATATTGTAGAAAATATTTTAGTATTTATTAAAGTATTTCGGCAATAAAACTCTACCAAAACTCAGTAATTATTATTCTACTATTCGAAGTATGCAGAAAACGCTACATTTTGTTATAATAATATGAAAGTTTATTTCCCTATTGTATTTAATGTGGTTAATTAAAGTGGAAACCACATTTAACGGTTTTATTTAATTAAAGCGAGAGTCTTCATTTAAAGAATGGCGGAGCTAACTGGGTTACCTATTTGCTATGTTAATAGTGGGCATGGATTTTAAAATAGAAAATCATTTTTCATATAATAAAAAAACCAAAACTCATCTA